GAGAACTACATTGGTGAGTCAATGAATTTTATTTTACATTTCTTCTTGTCATTTTATTTCGTTAGTATTAAATTCATGGTAACGAAATAAAATGAGAAAGATACAAACATGTATCAAATAAATCTGCTCACCTGCAATTTATAATGGTGCATTGTAGTCACCTTCGTGCACGAAAGTTCGTTCAATCTCAGCTGTTAGTCAGTTATTAGTTAGTCAGTTATGTCAATTATTTGCTGCTGTATTGTCAATTTTCAAAATGCAAATCATCTGTTTACTTTATTTTCAAAGAACAGTTTGTTTTGTTATTGTTTGGTTGGTGTCTTCTATGAAACTGCGACAATTTATTGGACAGACTTGTTTAAGATCACACAGCGTAATTTGGATGGCATTTTATTTCGTATTTTTAAATCATCTTTTTATTTTTGACTATCTGTAAATGTAGTTTCCTGCTCTTAATTGTGAATGCATACTTGATGGTTTTAAATGCTCCTGAAATTAAGTGCTGCTTGACGAGCCTATACAGTATTGTGTTCATAATATGTGACGTCACTGAAGGCTGAATGAAATGCACGGCCCGCCACTGAGTGAATATAAATATAGATATATAAAATCACATATGCAACTGGTAGAAGGTGGCTGTGTTATTTACAATTACAGTCAAACCTCGGTTTTCGAACGCCTCGGTTCTCAACCAATTCGGTTTCCGACCAAAAATTTCGAGTTTTTTATGCCTTGGATGACGAACAAATTTCGGTTCTCAAACAAACTGAGCGCACTTGAATGCATCACTTCACTCCTCTCGGCTTCGCTTCCTCATGTAGCGTCCATTGTGAGCAAACGTTTTTGTTTTGTTTAATAAAGATTTTTTTTTTAAAAAGCAAACGTGTTTGGTGAAAATCTTCTTCGTGTAGCGTCCATTGTGAGCAGACGAGTTTGTATTGTTTAATAGATTTTTTTTTAAAAAAGCAGATGTTTGGAGAGACGCTTCTGTTAGGGGGAGTGAACCCCCCCCCCTCTTTTCAGAATGGTTTGCCCCAGCAGCACGGGGGAAGTGGGTGCGTTTGTTATACAGGGGGCAGTTTTCAATACAGCGGCACATAATGAACACTCTGGTGTCCGGTGTCTCATTATTATGCAATAATCATACAGAAACAGCTTCCTCGTGTCGCGTCCATTGTGAGCAGACGAGTTTGTATTGTTCAATAAAGATTTTTTTTTTTTTTAAGTAGACGTGTTTGGTGAGAACTACGTAATATCGGACTGTTATTTTTGCATCGT